TCCAAGGATAGAGCCTTGGGGGACCCCTACAGAAAGAGGAAGATGAGGGGAGGAGTTAGAATTGTAGGTGACACTAAAGGAGCGCTTAGATAGGTAGGAGGAGAACCACGAGAGAGCAGATTCTTGTAGCCCAAGTGACTGGAGTTTTTTGAGGAGGAGCAGGTGGTCAACGGTGTCAAAAGCAGCAGAAAGATCTAATAGCAAGAGTAGGGAATAGTGGCCTTTGCTTTTAGCAGTGAGTAGGTCATTAGTGAGTTTTAGGAGGGCGGTTTCAGTGTGTAGGGGGCGAAAGCCAGATTGTAAGGGGTCAAGAAGGTTGATCAGCGAGGTGGCGACTTAGGCGGCTGTAGATGAGGCGTTCTAGGAGTTTGGAGGTGAATGGGAGTAAGGAGATTGGTCTGAGATAATTGAGGTCAGTAGGGTCCATTGAGGGTTTTTGGGTATTGGGGTGACCAGGGCATGCCTCAGAGGGGAGGGAAAGATTCCAGTAGAGAGTGAGAGATTGAAAATGTGAGCCAAAGAGTCTAGGATAGAGCAGGAGGGTGACCGAAGTAGCGCTGAGGGAACAGGGTCCAGGGGGCAAGTGGTGAGGTGGGTGTCAGAGAGAAGCTTTGTAACCTCCTCTGTGGTGACAGGGTCAAAAGAGGAGAGTAACAAGTGTGATGGAGGGTCTGGTACATGAATAGGGGAAGGTGACTGCACAGTGATGATCTGATCCCTAATTGTATCTATTTTGTTTTTGAAGTGAATGGCAATGTCCTAAAACAGATTAGATGAGTGGAGTGATTTTGACTAAATTAATTTCACCGCAAAATGACAAATTTACCAAAAAATAAAGAGGCTAATGAGGGTCAATTGTTTAGCACAAGACAAAGATCCTTCATAGTTCAAATGAGCTTCCATAATCCTCAGGAGCCATTGCACCCGTAAAACCCCACCAAAAAAACCACCTAATTTTGCTTTCAAACTGGGGCATTGAGAATCTCAAGCAGTTTCCTATGGCAACCAATCAGCTTATCTCTTTAGTTTGTTCAGTAAAGCGTTGAAAATGAAAGATAAAACCTGATTGGTTGTGGTACACAGCAGCTACAGATTCAGTCTGCTCCAGTTTTGATAAATTCCCTTCAGTATATTAATTCAGTTACAATATAAATAATTATCTTTTCATGTGTTTTTTTTTTTCATGTGTGTTCTGTCTAGGGTATCTATGATATCTTAAATTAAATATATATGTATGTAAATATATATACTTCAAAGAAACAATACAAAAGCAAACCTTTGTACAATTAAAAAAGTGCTTATCTGTTGTGATGCAGATGTACATTGGCTAATGACACTGCTCACATGTTAATATAAATTTAACAGGAAAACGTTCAGTTGGTGCTTTTAACCTTTTTTAAGATTATTGAAAAAAACCTCTTTCAAATCTGTAGAGGGAATTTAGCAGCTTTTCTGGCTGGAGGATCAAAATTAATTGTACTTAAAAAATGGCCCACATATACTTGTAACCTGAAATGGGTAAAATGTTAAGGGAATACATTTGGTTCAAGTGAAATTTATAGGCAATTTGTTAAAGTAGGAGTGCACATTAGAAGGTGCATTAGAGGCACGTTGGTTTAATATGCCACTCAATAACTTGAGCAGAGGTTAAAAATGCAGCTTAAACTCCATTAAGTATATATTTTAAATGTTTTAATTTAAAATTATTTGGGGTGTGCACTAATAAATATGACAACAGCCTGTTTTTTTGGTCTCCCTTTGAATGCCTCCCCCAGTGCAAACTAACCAATTGACATTTGCTGCAGGCACTTAATCAGCGGAGACAATGTGAAGGCGGGGAATGTGATGTCAAGATTTCTCAGGCCTTGAGAGCAAGACACTAGAGGTTTATTTGGGTCTAAGGCTTTTTAGAATTTACAAGTAAAAGTGTCTTTTTTAAGACTCAGTAGAAAATTGTTAGATATTAGTAACTAACTTTTTCAAACCTGCAAATAAAACACAATAGCATTTCAAGCTTGCCTATAGCTCAGTGAAGCAGCCCATTACATTAAAGGTCTGCAATTGCAGACATATTGCAATTTAAATAAACAAATTGGGATTGAAATGTAATATCTAGTGGAAGATGTTACATTTTAAATGATTAACATCATTATTTATTATTTTCTGTATGCAAAAATAAAATTGAATTTTTGTTTAGTCAGATATATATATATATATATATATATAAAAAATATTGAAGCCAGTGGAGCTCTAGGCTCCTTTGCACATGTTTCCCTGGCAATTTTTTGCTGTTTTTCCTAGAAAAGTATTTTGTTCACAGAACACAATAACTAAACTGCACACATAACTGAAATAACTCTCCTTTCTCCCTGCTCGCAACAGCTTCATACAGATTTTCATTTAGAGGAAGACAGCCTGAAAACAAAGCAAACAGTTCTTTTGGTGCTCTCATCATGCTCTAATAATGGTCCGCAAAACAGTGGTCATGGATGTACCCTGTATGCTGATTATTTGTAAAATAAAAACTTTAATTTCTTTAAAAATAAATTATTAGATAGTAACAGCTATCTAGGAAAAAAATGGTGCTTTGCCAGTCATTTGGACCAAAAAGTCGGGGCTTGATACTCTAGGTACCTCTGCTTTAATGCTGAAAGTAGTTGTTTTTTTTCTAATGACAACTGAAGAGTCTTAACAAATAAATGGAACAAAGGTCCAAAACATGCCCATGACTTTTCAGTCCTTTTTGACCTACCCTTACCATACAAAAGATCTATCTTCTTCTTTTAGTATATCCTATATAGTAAAGACTGCCACCCCACTGTATAGAAGCCAGCATGTGGGAGTAATATGCAATTACAACAAGTCATTTTCATTTGTTTATGCTGGGAAGGGTCTGGTTCAAAGGGCCTCACAACATTATCTGATATACAACTTGAAGAACTCAGCCTAAAAATGGTCTCTGGATCAACAGCAAAATCATGTTTTCTGTTTCAGGTGAAGGTGAAGTCAACAAAACTTCTCACCTGCACTTTTCTTTTTCTATCCTTTCATGGACCATGGACACAACAAGCGCAGCTCTATGCTGATTTAGCTGTATCATGAGGAGCCTGTTTTCTGCAGTCCTCAGAGAGAGTTTTAGAGATTGAGATATTTCCATGTTGTGGCACCACTGCTGTCAATCTACTTTTCAAATCACTGAATAGCTTAGTGCTGATCTCTAGTTAAGAGACCTTTTGGATTTGTTAAAATGGAATGTTAAGATTTATAATTTACACTATATAGCCTAAAGTTTATGGACACCTGACTATCTCACCTATATGAGTTTGTTGTTGGACATCCCATTCCAAACAATATGGGCATTATATGGATTTGCCTTCACTGACCGACAGACTGAGTGGATCTTAAAAAAAAGAAAAAAACTATTTATATTGTGCATGTGTGTGTGAGATTGTGTCTGTGGTTGTGTGTGTCTGTCAGTGCTTTTTAGGGGCCTGTTCACACTTGTACAGTGCATTAATCGAACAGTCCTGTGAGATTAATGCACTGTACCATGCAATCGCACCTACTATGCGTTCTGGTGTTGGAGGTGTGTTGTGTTGATATTCATTTGAATGGCACCCCAAACGCACCTCCCGCCCACAGTGCAATCGCCCGCTTTGCGATCGTGACCTAATGACCAAGAACAAAGGTGGGTCCTTAGGCCACACAGGTTGAGAACCACTGCTATATTATTACCAGTACCCTTCATTGGGAACCCAGGAGAAGGCTCCACATACTCTTGACCATATACGTACCGTAGGTGTGAGGTATAGGTGCATAGACCAGTTTTCAAGGGTGGTAGTGCTCTGAGGGTGGTAAAATGATCAAGCTATCATTTTAACTGTATCATATGGCACCTTTATTATACTTTCTATTTAATATCAACTTTACTTTTTACTTTTTGTACATAGTACATATTTACTATGAATGTAAATATAACATGCATACCAAAATATTTTTAATGAGTGCCCTACATAGATTATTAAAAAAAAAAATCAGACTTTCAAGCCAATAAAATAAATTACCTGCTTTTCCAAACATTTGCTCTTGGCTTTGATACTGTAAACTCCTGTTCTGAGTGACTTTGCAAGATGTCACTTTCTTGGAAATGTTGGCAAGCAGAGAGGTTTCTGGTTGACTTGTAAAGTAGCCAAAATTGTAAGCAAACCTGTTTTCTGCGGCAATGTTTCCTGATCTTCTGTTTTCTTGAAAAAAACATTTACAAAGTACAGTACAGTAATCCCCTACAGAAATATTAAAGTACAACTGCGGTCTAATTAAAAAGAAAGTTACAGAGAAGATGTTGAAGTCATGTAATATAGTAAATTGACTACTTTTTCTGTGTTGGGAGAGCAGCTGATACACTAACAGCTCTCCAGTAATCAATACCATCGTAAAATATGGGTCTGACATAGTAAAGCTTATGTGCGTATGTTGGTGCATTGATCGTGCGCTGACAACCAAATCATATTCTCACTATATTTATTGTGCACTGTGATGTGCGCTGATATGCAGTCAGGTTGTGATTCGCATGTAAATTTACTAAGACACGTGTTTCTGAATGAGTTGCCAGTCTTGTGTAGGCTGCGCCAGCCTGTTCTACTATGGGATGAGAAGATGTTGCAGGGGGTGTAGCTATCAGCATGGTCACTGCTGATTCACAAGTATTTAACTTGTCAATCATCACCTGGCCACATCTAGTCTTGTTTTTAAAGCTTATGCATCACATAGTATCTGGATTTGGTACTTGTTTAGACTGTCATGCACGAGCCTTTCTTTTTACTTTAAGATTCTTTCTACACAATGTATGAAAGTGTCTAGCAGTTCTCCCAACAAATCAGCCTTTTCTCTTACACTGAGTAAAATCACAATAATGGAGAACACCTTTTAGTTCCGTAACTAAACACATCAAAATAATATTCAGGTATTTTTAACAATGCCTTTTTCTTCATATTTTGTAGGTCTTTATTCCTCCGGTGATTGGGGAACAGGCTGTGTGCCATGCCTTTGCCACCCCAGAGGATCAGTTAATGCCATCTGCAATTATATCAGCGGTCAGTGCAAGTGCGGGGATTCCTCAGTATCTGGGGTAAAATGTGACCAGTGCAGTGACTACTTCTATGGATTTTATGAGGACACAGGAAGGTATTTGGAAATAACAAGTGCATTACTGTGATATTAATTGTGTTAAACCCTAGGAGTGTTCTAGATTTTTGCACAAATACAGTGTAGTGCCCTATGCTGTGGTCTGATCTTCGTCTGAGTCTCAAATAATAAAGATATTTTTATTCAAGCAAGCATGACGCATGACAGCCCCAATGCCCTGGACTGTATTTCCCATAGAGGAGCTTTGGCCAGTGTCTAGGTTTGCAGGATTAGAGAGGATTTGAGTTTATTTTGTTTCCCTCTTTCAGCCAACTCTGGACATTTGTGGTTAAATTGGGTAAGAGAACTGAGGGAGAAAGAGGGTACAGGATTGAGTCAGAATATTCTCTATATTTCTAACTACATGAAGCCATATTAGCACCACCGACCCCATATACTCACTTTACTTGTGCTCCTTATAGCTCCTTGCATATTTCTGGGTATGGAGGTGCATGTTACTTGGTCCCCTGTGATGCTACCTGAGACTAGTAGCCAGTCCCTTTTTACAAGCACTTTTAAATGACATTACTGCTCCCCCAGTTTGTCAAAACAGGCAATCTGAGCACCCACTGCAGAGGAGGAAGAAGCTGCAAGAGAGGGCAGGTAAAGTGAGTATAAGGGGGTCAAGAGATGCCCCCCCAGAGAGACAGGCAAGAGGACAGTGTTTCTGTAAGGCATAAATCCAGAATATTTATTTAAAAAAAAAACTAATTTCCCCAAAGCAGTTTGTATACGGGTTAAATGACGCATAGACTGTCATGGACATGCCCCCTGGTGGTGCTTCATTATGCATCCTGGACCAAGAGTGGACATCAAAATGCCTGCTAATGCTCTATCAGCCAGCCAGGTATCTTCTGTGCCCCTCTTTAATATAGTTTAACATTATTACATTATTTCCATACCCTGCAAAGCCCCAACTGCCATTCCACTGTCCAGTGAGACTGTCCCAGTGGCCACTAAGGGCTCTGTCATTGGGCAGGGGAATGTTAGACCCTCAGACGCAGACTTGTTGTGAGATCCCTGGAGCCACAACTTTGTTTAAAATCTCCTAAACATTTTCCCCTTGCTGTCCAATACATGCACTACTGTTTAGCATATAGAATAATTGACTGCAACCAGAGCCTCTGAAGACAGGCCATTATATCCTATGGCACAGGCCAGCTCCTTAGCTCATGGGGGGGGGAGCATAGCAGGTGATAAAAGTATAGCTGGAAGTGTAAAGATTAAAGCAGCACTGGGCAGGTTTCAACTGTCAATAATAGGTCTGAATATGGGGTCTGTAACATATTCTACATATTCGATAAGTCAGACTTTTTTTACACCTGTTCTTTATTAAAACTGGAAAACCTAATGTTTAATTAAAAAAATCCTTACAATTAAACATTTTTGCATTTGCATGCATGTTTTGCATTGCATCACTATTTAATTTTACATTTGTGTATTCTGAATTAAAGTACATGTAAACTCAATCATATAATCTTTACCATGTGACTGTAATATCAAAAGGAATTTTTAATTGAAACAATGACTGGTGATCCTGCCAGGAAGGTCCTTGTTCTGGCATTTCCTGTCTCCTAATTTTTTTTCAGTATTGTCACCACCTTGTCATATGCGCTACCGGTGAACACTATAAGTGGTCTTGTCAATGCGTATTGTAAAGGCATGTTACACTATTGTCACAAAAAGAGGATGATAAAAAGGTCAAAACAGATTTTTCTAAAGGAAAGAAATGACAATTGTTTATGGTACACAACCTTTGTCAAATTAAATGTCTTCCAGTTAGGGTTTAGATCTTCTTTACATGTATACTTAGCAGGCTAACTTGAATGAATGATAAATGCATAAATTATAAATGAACACAAAAGAGCTTTTTTTATTAGATTTTTGTGAATTTGCACTATGGGAGATTTCTATCTGCGTCTTTCTCTAGATTGCAAAGTAAAACATGTAAAAAATATAGTACTGTATAGTAATACATACATGAAAAATGATAATCTAATCTGTCTGTAAAAGCTGAAATATACTGTTACCCTACCGTTAAGACAATACAAAAATAAAAAAGGCAAAGAAGACATACAAAATACAGAAAAGTTTAACTTTGTTGCAAAATCTGATGGATGCATGAGAAATTGCAGCAAGCTTTTTTACATCACTGCCTTTGTTTGTAGTAATGATCAGATCAATGAGCATCACAGATTGCTAATATATATAAATCTTGACAGATTAGTGTTTATGAAATGCACTCGGTCTGAAAAGCTCACCCGCTAGAAAAAAAAGAAGCTTTTTTTTTTTAGATTGATTTCAGGGCAGGCTGCATCGTACCTAGAGAGTCAATGTAATAAAGGTTCCTCTGTATTAATATTACAAAAACCATTTATCCCAGGAAAAAAAATCAATACAACAATACATCTTAGTTTGGTTTTCGTTTTTCCAGGTTGAAATTGTCTTGTTGTTACGACTCATAATTCCCATTTAAATAAAAAGGGATATGGCAGTGTTGCACTAAATATTTCTTAAAGAACCAGCAGAATGTAAACTGAATTGTTCTGAAGAACAAGCAAAACTAAAGTATTTTTTAAAATGTAATATTAATGTAAACACTTTAAAATTGAAAATAAAAATGAGTGCAGGCATGCATAGTACTATATCTGTGTTAGCTTTTGCTTTATCCAATATATTAAATTATCAATATTATATTATCCATATGGCATTTTGCAGTCTATTCCATTAACTTTCTGAGCATTAGTAGGATTGGTGGTGTTACTTTCTGAGAAGAAATTATGTAATCATTCCCTCACAGGTAATTCTCTGTAGGAACTACTTTTTTTTTCTGCAGGAACCATTTGTTTAATAGGGTGGTTCTGTCCCCACCCTAATACCTCCGCTCTCCTGATTTTGTATCAGCCACTTGTTCCTTATTTACTAAATGCAACTGTCTATCAGATGAGAAGGAGAACATGGGGCAGAACTAGGAGAGGCCCCATCATTTTAGAAGCTTAATTACATACTAAGAGTAGAGCTGTGCTGTCAGCAGAGGTCAAACCAAGAGGTCATAGACAATCCTAGGTTGCTGCTATGCCTACACTACAGCTGGAATACCAGTGGAGAAAGACACAAGACACACAGTTGTTGGTGCTGATCTGTGATATCATATGACAAGGAACAGAAGAGGCTTGGTGATGTGTACCTTTTCTCTGTGGCCATGTTCTTTAATGCACTCAGGTCCATCTTTGAAATTGCCACTGACTTTCCTCTGTAAATGAAGCCTGAAAACAGTGGTTGCAAGCTTTATTGTACAAATATAGCTACAATATGTTTTGTTTAGGGCTTGCCCTTTGAACTAACCAGGTCAGTTTGTTGGCTAGAATTGCTTAAATAATTTACTTTCAAGCACAGTTATGCAATTAAATGCTGAAATGCATGGGTTACATCACTTTACATGTCCCTTTTTAATAATTAGCTCCACCTAGAAACTGACTTTTTATGCTGTTTTTGACAAAATCAGTGTAGGCCTGTTATATGTCTCAGGGACTCCAGTAGAGAGGCATCCCACAGCTGTTGTGGCCTAGGCCAGATTTAGTATTAGGTGCATTAGACCTGTGCCTATAGGCTACATATGCAAACATCTGGATTTACCCTGTATAGTTATCAGCCACACATTTCGCTCTATCATCAGAACATATACAGCCATCTTATATAATCCTATATACTGTATAGGTAACAAATGGTAAAATTTCCAATCCAAAATCCAATGATAATAAATGTCAAAATAAATGGATTCAATCTGCTCCCCTCTCCACTTTTTTCTTTCCTTTAGGCCAGGCCACCGTAGTATGAATAGGTACCAATTTATCTTTGGTTACTCTCATTCTCAGTGGCGAGAGGTAGGAGCTGAAGGAGAAGAGCGCAGTCCACACCTCCTCCCAGCTCTCTTCACCTCTTCAGGGCCACCTCGCCATTCCATCCTCTGGTTGACAACAGAAGTGACATTGCTTTCATTGCCCCCGTCAGTGTGCTGGTGGCTGAGTGAGAAGGAATTCTGGAGGTAACTGGTACCCAGTAATCAAACTGTTTCCCTGGGTAAGAGCCAAAGTAGATGGTCAGAAAACATGGACAATGGATGACCGGCTACAAACATGCTCCAGTGGTTGAGTAGTTGAGTGGATGAGTGGTTATTATACGAGACTATTAAAAACTCCAACCATTACAGTTCTTTTTACATATCAGTGCTCCCATATTTGTGCTCCATACAGCCCTCTTGATAATAACTGGCAAACACATTTGAAATCCCTCCTTGCACAATACATTATAAAGAGAAAAAATGCATAAGCAGAGAAAAGGACATGGACAGCATAGAATGAGGTACCGTAATATGGGTCATCATTTCTAGCAGTATAAGTACTGTGGTACTGCAGTTTGCAAAGAGCACATTTGTTGCCCTTAACAAACAGTGAGGGAGGGTGTTCCCAGGCTTTCCTTTTGTCACATGGCAGGGCCACACTCCAGTAACACTAAAAGGGCTAGAGGGCTGCAAAATATATACCAGGGGGCAAAATGTGGCCCTATGAGCACAGGTAGGGTAACGCGGGTTAAAAAAATCCAATAGGTGAATCAACAACCATCACCTGACCATATCAGAAATGTAATTATGTGTGGAGTCTACCTTTAAATAACCCTGCTGATATTTAATACCATTTTCTAAATTCCACTCTGTACCGCATGAAAGAGGAGACGCAGCCTGCTGTGAAGAAAGCTCGGCTCAGATCCTCTTTCCTGACATTTTACCCCGATGGAACTCTCACCAAGTGGTCTCCAGAGTGACCCACTCAACACCCTTAAAAATCCTGATAAAAGCCAAATCCGCAACACTGACTACAAATTTGTTTCATAGAATAATATCCCAACTGGGAATAAATAAAATGCATCATTTTGTCCGCCTCAGAATTTTATCTACCATTAAAGTCAAAAAGAACATGAAGAGTTTTTTTTTTTCCCCTCTC